GGAATCTTAATTCTTATGGATCACAAACCAAATTGGGTAGTTTGTTGAACAATTTTCGACGGAGTCTATGTAAATGGTCGTTTATCATATCTGATAAGTATATCTTTAACAAGATACTAATAGAGTTTAGATCTATATTTATTGTTCTATGTAATTAACAAAAAAATTAAAATTTGATGTTACAATTAGTTGCTTTCAATATATCGGGTTAAACGAAAAGTAGCTACTATAATCCAAACGAATTCGTATCTTATGTATTTAATAATCAGCGTAATACTTTTAATACTCTCAACAATTTTTTAAATGACGCAAATAATTTCGTCCACCGTGAGCGAATAACAACCGTCGCAGCCACAAACCCATCGAACCATCCGATTTTTCCCAGGCTTTGCCCGAAGAACACACCGAGGAGACCTCCTTTTCGCTCCTCAAAATTAACGACGTCGGAATCCGGCAATTATGCTGACCATCCATGCCCGTGTACACCGAAGCCTATCCGCCGGTCTTAATTAATGATCTCGTTAAAGCCTCAAAAAGTCCCTCTAATGACCTCTTTCGCTCGGAATCGCGTTCCAATTTCCCATTCCCCGGCTCGTTGTCATCGCCGACGGAACACTCCGTCACCGGATACGCCCGGTTGTCGCAAGAATCATCCAGTCTAGTTCCTCGTTCCTCGGATAGACGCCATATTGCCCTTCTTCCCCCTTCAAACTAATTGCTTATAGTCAACAGAATACGGCGGAACCTTGACTCGCGTATTTCTTTGGCAGTTCAGTTGTCTGTACTCTTAATGGGACTGACATTTGTGAAAATGGTTCAATTGGTAGCAATTTACTTACATACTTCGTATATGCTATTAAAATTCTACTTGAATAGTCGTACACTATATCTTAATTATAAATATACGTTGATCAACTAAATTCATCAATTCGTTCGGTACTTACTTCGTAATCATTGATGTAAAGTCTCATTTACAAAGATCTTACAAGATCAAATTTTATACCTCTCCCAAGATCTTCGCAAGTGCCCCATAAATACAATAACCATCATCAACAAATCGAAACTCCGCAAATACATTGCTAAACTGGAGAAACATTCGCTTCCATCGTTCCACTCTAACATCAACACTTCTAAATTCCGAAACTCACTTCTACGTTCTTCGAGCACTTCAATACAGAGACACTAACATACCCTCCCATATTACTCAGAGTATTAATAATCATTCCTTCGTTCCATTAACAACCTACGCACACTCTATGTTCACCCCTACTTACGTCTCATTCAGCTTCTCCAGAAAGTTTATAATAATTATTTAAAACAGGTCTCAACTGTGATTAGTGCGCGCTGCTTTTACCCTCTCCATCGTTCTCTCCCTCTTTTTCTCTCTCAGCCGGCCGCAGCTTCAAACGGTATTATTTCGAGCAAACTTTGTCGCAATTCGCCGCTGAATATCGCGCGAGGGCTGCAGAGGGGGTGAGTCGGCGAGGGGTTGCCGTTGTTGACGTATGCAAAGTCCCATGCGCACACCATTGTCCCCTGCGTTTGACAGTTGGACGGCCTGTCCGCCGGGTCCGGGCCGCGGCGACGTCACCCACCGTTTGTGCCGCGACGCCCTCGGTACGGTACATTCAGGGGTGGTCCTGGTGCAGGGGTTGATGAGGTTTCCGCGGAGTTCTGGGCCGCTTTAGAAACTCCAGAAAGTTTGGATCTGGCCGTGTTCTCTTCATTGAACGTTCTTCGCCATTGTTACGCCCTGGCCTTGTCCGGGGCCTCGCCGCCACCCCCACCCTCCCCTGGGGGTGTGTTCCATGAAACGTTGATGCGTTTAAATTATCGATGAAACTGTTGCGAATGGACGAGTTAGCGGGAACGCGGATCCGCTTTGCGGAGGGTCTGATGATTTAATTGGAATCGCTGAGGCATTCGATTTGAATTTGTTTGGAAAATTTTGGTTTGTGTTTGCGGGATATTTTTAAGCGTTATTTAACACTAGAACTACCGAGCACTTGAACCGTCTTTCGAACATCTCTTTATGAAGGCTAAACGCGTGAATTTATTGAGATTTCAGTTGGCTTATATTTCAGATTAGATATTGCTAGATCGGCTTCTGTAATCATTTGTTAAAGAGTATCTGTACCTTTGCAGTAATTCTAAAAGAAAAAATTAGGAATCGGTTATTTTGACTCATCTAGTAGTTCTAGTGTTAAGATGTTCAATGTTTCTATTGGAAATAGTAGTTTCTATGCATAGAGATTGCGAGAAACGATGATGCAATCTTTAGTGCGTTTCGTATGGAAGAGGTTAAACTAAATAACAGTTTAATCATTCAATTTTCAACAAAAACTTTCGCGTGTAATTTATTTTATAAGAAGATAATCTGACCAAGATTTGATGAAACTAGGGTTAAAAATAAATGCAATTACGATTTCAGCGATTAGAAAAGAACGTTGATATCCCATAAAAGATATTAATAAACATTCCGAAAGGTTAAGATTTATTAAAAAGACTCTATGAAAATTCATATTAAATAATATCTATACCATATGGTAGTTTAATTGAGGGGGTTGTAAGATCTGTCTCAACAGACAAGAGTTTCGAGACGAATCCAGATATAATGACAGATAAATTCACTGATATTAATGAACTTCCCAGAACGGAAGTGCAAAGTATCCTCCAGTTTATTTAAAGAGTTTCGTCGACCGAAACTCACCGTAGAGAAGCGTCCGACTCTGCAGCCGGCGATCGACTTTCCGGCTCGCAATTAAAAAGCTCTCGACTCGACCAGGAATCAGGGCATAAATCATTCGCGAGCAAACGGCGTTGACATCCGGCAGCAGCGGTTGTCGCTGCTTTTTTTTTCTTCCGAGCGCATCAGGTGACGATTTGTTACGTCGCGACGTATCGATTTTCCCGGCCGGACGTCGTCGACTAATTTCGCGTTAGAATTAATTGACTTCTCTCTCCGTCGAAGTTCGCCGTGGCACGCGGCGCGTCGTTTCCGTTTTACGGCTTCCCTATCGATTTAATTAGCAGACGGGATCAACCAACCTAACTTCATTCGCAGCCATCGAATAAAAATTTTCGGATGTTCCATTCAACTTTTGCCGTTTTCCAGAACTTCGCGTCTCCGGTCCGAATCCGGACAACAGAAACTTCTATTTTCGGATTTCCTGTTCAACTTTCGCCATTTCCTAGAACTTCGCGTCTCAGATCAGAATTCCGAGTGAAGAGATTCCGAAATTTTCAAGTCTTTCACTCAACTCTTGCAATTTTCCGGAATTCTGGATCAAGATCTAAAACGCAAACCTTGGGGAAGGAAGGGAAACTCCGAAATTTCCAGATTTTCCATTCAACTTTTACAATTTTCTAAGATCTTCGATCAACATATAAAACATAAACCTCAAAGGAAGAGAAACTACAAAAAGAAAGAACCAAGAAAATACAAGAACCTCGAAGAAACACTATCCGAAAATTTCTTTTGAATACCACTCGTCGTCAATACGCGACAAGAGGTTAATCTAATTAGATTGAAAATCCCCACAAACATAAACTTGCTAAAAAATTTGACCTTACATCGAAAGAAAAGACAACGAAACTACAAAGACCTCAGAGAAAAAGAACTCTCCGAGAAATTCGTTTGAATCCGCGATTCTCGAGACATTCAGCTCGATTCTTCGCAAATATTCCTGTGTATTCTCCGGGGATTCACAGAATCGATTACGAAAGTTGTCCCGGAGAAGCGACTCGACGGAAATAACGCCTCGCGACCGTTTACAAAGTGCGCGTTGTCCCCTCGGAGACGAAACCGTCCAAGACGAGGATTTATCTGCGAGTTTCTAAGCGATTACCTGGACGGGAGAGAGCGTTTCTGCAGTAGCGGCGCGGGTAACGAGAGTCTGCGGTTTCCGGAGGCTCGGGGGGATGAAGGTTCCAGGCGTTTTCGCGTTTTCGCCGATTCCCCCGCGTACAGAGGAAATGAAACGGAAGAAAACGGAGCTAACGTGGCCTGAAGCGGAACAGTCGATACAGGAGTCGCGTTTGTCGGGTCGAAGGTCGCGATGAATGCTCGCTGAAACCTTAATCATGGCTCCTATGAACAGGAAACGGGAATAGGGGATGACATTCCTTGAGATAAATTAGCGAAATCTATTTTGTAAGATATTGAGAATTTCATTTGAAGATTTTGTAAACGAATGAATAGAATCAATCGAAGAAGGTTGATCGAATGTTAATCGAGATTAATAGTAGAGGAGTCTTTTTATTGCAATCTTTGGTGGATAAAGAGAATCTTAAGTTATTCTATTATCGTGACAGAATCCGAATTGATTATATTATTGAATTAATTAGTAATTAAGTATTCTAATTAGTTGAAATTAAAAGTTCTCTTAAAAAGTTAGAATCAATGCTTATCGACGGTTCAGTAATCGTTCACCATATTGAAAAAAGGAAAGAGTTGATTTTCTTCGAAGACAAATAAGAATCTTTTAAAGACCCAATTCAACTGTATTTCGTCTAATAATACACTCCGATGAGTAATTTCCTGGAGCTCGGCCGATAATTATACTTTTTACGCGCGGACGGATCGATCGATGCACCCGAGACACTTGTTCCGACCGCAATTTCTATTTATTGCCTTCATGTAACCGCGACGGCGAGCAATTTTACTCCGGTTCTTCTATCATTTACGAATTCCTAAAATTCTGAAAGGAACTGTTGCGATCCGGAAGACTCGTTACTCGCTCCAGTGAAAATACTAATCCGGACGGGGATAACGATGGGAAGAACGTAATTTCCTGTACCGTTCACTGTCGCCGTCCTTCTTTTCCGCCGGGCGACCCGTTATCTAATCGCGACGCGAAATATTATTTTTCTACGGCCGTGCGTCGCCGGCACGCTCTTCTTTTGTTCCTTCGTCGTGCAGAAAGACGACACTGGCCGCGGAGTTTTTGCGGGGATGACGGACGTTCCGCTGATCAGACCGTCCGATTTTATTGTTGCAGGAGCGATGTCTTCCTGGAACCGTACCTGCAGCAGCACGGAACCGTTCAGGTTGTCAGCTCGCCGAGCACGCCTCCGCCAAATCCGCTGCAACATCATCAGCTTACGCAGCTACATCATGTACAGGTGAGCCGGATACACCTCGATTGTACTTTTTAAATGTCATCTTCAATAAAAATATTATCCCGAGAACGTGACTCGGCATTTTGGACAAGCAGTAACGTTAACTCTTTGCTTTACGATTTATTTACAAATTGAATTACTATAGATCACTCGATTAAACGACGATTATTTGGAATCATTTCTATATTACAAATAATGCTACTTAATTTCGTGATATTTAGCTAGAAGAACGTGCAATAATAACAATGTAATTCAATCAAATGATTTAATATTATATTTTTTCATTTTCTGTATTTTGCTCTATGAAATCTTGCAACATTCAACGTGTTAACAATGATCGATACTTATCGTTGATAATGTATTAAAAAAAGAAACAATTTTTACGCTTACTGTGTCTGCGTTTACTCCGAAGGTTGACGATTGATCGTATACAAGTAATATTCAATTTATTTAAAAAAAAAATTAATAACATTTGGATTTCTCTAATTCAGATTGAAATGTTTGTCGCGAGTTTGACACGATGTTGCAGATTAAGGGGTTGAAACCCTTTGCATTCGAAAGGTTCTAATCGCAATTTGGATATAGTAAAATTCTGAAATTTGATATTTGATAATATAATATTATTATTAACTTAGTTACTTGATATCATAGTAATATCAATAAAATATCAATTTTCGTGTAGTATGGTAATAGATACGTGGAATATCGATTTCAAACAGTTCATTTACACATTTAATTATTTAACTATTCAACTGTAGCAGCTAACATTAGTTGAATCTACAAATCCAAATGTCAAGCGTAAATCAATAAAATCCCAACTATTTTTCAATGTTCAATTTACAATTCTACATCATTGTTCTATTCACAGTATTTAAAATACTACGCGGTATTTAAAAAATTACGTTTCAAAACAAATAATTTCAATTAATCACAGAATCTCCAGTAAATGCTCAAAATTATAATCCACGTTACGGGAAACTCGAGTGAATTAAAATAACCGTGTGGCACGTGTTCGATTTTTGGAAGCAAGAGGCGGTTTTCGGCCGAATTCTCGTCTTACTTTTCCTTAACGAGAGTCCCTCTCGAAGCTATCCGCGGTAGATCGCGGAAAAAGTCGGGTTACTTTTCGCGACGAGCAATTAGGGAATTCGCAATTAGCTGCGAGGGGATGTTCAGCACGCGTCGCACGTTCTCGTTTAATCCGTTTAACCCGGAACGCAGTTGTGTGTCAGTCTGCATTTCAAATTAAATTACACTCGAAACTCCGGCACGCGGCGAACCCCTTCGCGAAATCCCCTTCGACCCCCGTCGAACCCTTCCATCCGCCATCACGGAAAAACGGCCGAGCGGAAAATTGAAAACATCGCCCGATCGCGGCGGGGCACGACGATTTCATTCGCGACACCGTGTTTGTCGAAATCATTCTTAGTATAATGTTACAGTAGAATTTTCTATAGCGAGATTAACCTATTAAGATCCATGAAATTTTTTTTTTTAATTTTTAGATAAAATTTTGTATTTCGAGTAGTGAGTGTACATACTATCTTGGAAAAATAGTGAAAAAAATCTGACATATTCAATATACTATATATAGCAGTGGCATATTCATAGATCACCTAATGTAATTGTTCATAACATTGTTTATATTCAATGTTAGTGCATATAAATAGAGTTTACATTATTCTGGAAACATTTATTTTGTAATTCTAAGTTGCAAAAATTTTAACTTTGTTATTTCAAATTTTATAAATAATTTCTCGTGGCAGTGTAATTATAGACCATTTTATAAATTTTCAAAACTTTAAATGAAGTATAAATTTTATCTGGAAATAACGTCTGATTCAATTTATTCATTCTAAACACTAACTCATATTTATCCTAATGATTAGGTACATTATTTATTAGCAAATAAATTATCTATAACAATTTAGAGTGAGTGATCTATTAATAGATCACTGGGACTTAATGGGTTAACCCGTTCGCTACCAGCGTTTATTTCGGTGAGGACTTCCTCAATTGTAATATTTTATTCAGTCCAATAAATCTTCTAAACAGAATATCGGAAAAATAAAACTGGAACAAGTTATTGAGTTCCTAAATATAATAACTTATAACTTTAAATAACAATATCTATAAGATTAATTTCATTTACTTTGTGTAAAATATATGACTGCGTCACAAATATGTGCGAACGTGTTAAACAATTGTTGAGAAATAAATATAAAAGTGAGAACATAATAGTAAAAAGAAGAAATTGAATCCAAAAGATGTCGGTGGAATTTAAGAGTAGCTATCGGGCAGTTGAATTGATTTTTTGAGATTTCTCTGTAGAAATTACAAGGGAGCGTCTATTGAGATTCCAATTGATTTATAATTCAGTTTGCGTATTGTTGAAGCAATTTTCTTAGTAATCTCTCAGGGAAGCTACTGTTATCTTTTGGGTAATCGCAAAAAGAAGAAACCACGAATGGTAGTTTTAATGTTCACACGAAAGTCGTGAACGTGGAATCCATTAATTGCGTAGTACTTATTATCACTATTTTTTACTTGTTTTTAGATGTCAGGAGTTCTACTGTATTATCATTATCTTCTAGAATTTATAGATGTCTCGGAACACCTATCAAAATTTGTATGAAAAATTGTTTTCTAAGTTAATCTGTTTCTAATTTCTAAGTTAAATTTTCCAAATCATTTTTCCTCGATTGATTTCATAACTGTTTCTATAATAATTATAAAATTCAATTAGTAAATTACATATCTAGAAAGTCGTTTACAACGTAAATATTCTTCTATGAACAAATTGATGAATTCGACCGAGAGTTCTCCCTTTTCCCTCGTTTTTGAGTTGTTAGAGATGCTCATCCGACAAAATTCGGCATCAAAAGAGAAGCGAACAGAGGTGAGAGTGGAGAATATTTTCCACCGGAAAACTGTTCCCGATTTAAACGGTGAAACGGGGAAGAGTCTCGACGCACAAGTGCACTCTTTTAAATTGATGTGATTCTTCTTGAATTTCGGTGTACATCTTCGGGGTGTATCTCCATTCTCCGCAGTTTCGGGCACGTAACGAAGCCAATCCCGAGCAATTCGGCCGGCAAACAGTCTCGCAAACGAGACCGACTGTCGAGTACGATGTCTGGGAAAGGCTCTCGCAGTGAAATCACGGCGCAGGACACTCGGTCGAAGTGTTTTCGCCCCCTGCGAACCGAATTCCCAGTGTTTCGCAATTATTTGCGAGATCAGTAACTTTATTGCTAACAAAGTCGAGGAAAATGTGATTTGCTTACACATTACTGAAGGTAATTCGAATTCTACGTTACAATGAGCGACTCGATTGCAAATTATGAAATTATCTTTCGTAATCTTCGATTGTACTGGTGATTCGTTCTGTTAATTATTATAGTAGTCATTCATAAGTCTAGTAATTAATAGCTCCACTAATTCATAGTACTAATAATTTATAATCCTAATCGTTGATAATCCTAATCGTTGATAATCCTACTCATTGAGAATACTACTAATTCAAATCCTACTCATTGATCACTAGTCCATAATCCTACTCATTGATAATACTACTAAACCATAGTATTACTAATTGATTGAACAACAAATTCATAATACCACTAATTCATAATTCTACTCATTCATGGTACCACTAACTCATAATCCTACTCTTGCATAGTACCGCTAATTCATTGTACTACTAACTCATAACACTACCTACTCATTCATAGAACCACTAATTCACAGTCCTACCAATTACTAATTACAAGTTGCAACTCCCTTATCAACACTTAATCTAATTTCATCTTATCTAACCCGAAAGACTTCACACCCAACACCTCGAAGTCGAATTTCCCGAACGTCCGTCGTTCAACCCCAACATCCAAAATTCAATAACACGGCAGAAAAGAATCCTATAATCAATATCAAGGGATAATCCTAAAGGGGGAGACTCCAGCCTCCCAGACCACGATGAATTTATTTACAAAAAATTCATGTAACTCGATAAATTTCGAGCGAATCCCATGCGACACATAACGCCGAGCCGAATCGTCGAGACTTCTTACCGGCGAAACCACTGCGCGACCCCTCGTAACCCCCGAGTCGAGTAATCGATGAACGATTCTCGAGCCGTAAATGCGGCCCGCGGTGCATGACCAAATAAATCAAACGAAGCGTCGATTGAGGCTCGCCGATTCGAATAATCCGCGCATCCCTCTAAATACCGGGGGGTTGCTCGAAAACGCGCGAAAGGGTCGCGCGCTCGTTTTTCCACTGACGAGTGACGGATGCTGACGAATCGCGATGAAAAAAAAAGAGGAAACGAGAACGGCGCGGTTCGATCGGTCAGCATCGATCAACGCGAGCTGTCCGATTGAAAACGCGCGTTAATCACCCGACTCACGAGTAATCGAGTCCGATTACCGGCGACGCGAAATCCTCGGGGATCCGTTGCAACGATATATCAACGAGAAAGAAGCTTACCGGTGGTCTCGATAACAGAGTCTTTTAAATAAACGCGAAAGCAGATAAGAATTCAAGAGTTTCACTTAAATACAGTAACATTTGTTCTTCTTTTGCAGAAGTTGATAGACTGTTTTGAAATTATGTCAACACAAGCGAGAAACTGATTATACATTTTTCTATTTCCTTTGAAACAGTTTCTCATTCGTTCGAACAACTTTTCAGCCGACCTGTGCTTCGAAGATAAACGAATTTATGCGAGAATATTGGAATATCGAGGCTTATGTCGATGCTAACTTTTACGTCGGTTTGAACTTCGAATATAAACGATTTATGTGGAAATATTTTCATACTGGAGCTCGTACCGAAAATGTTTCGGTCAGATTTTACATCGATTTGTGCACGAAAAATAAAAAATTCATGCAGAAATATTACATTGGCCGTTTTTACACCGTTTTTACTAAAGCTAACATTTTGGCTGCTAACTTTTACATCGATTTATGCCCTAGGAATAACAAATTCGTGTAAAAATATTATAATGTAGTGAAATTCGCAGCAAACATTTAGTTCGCTAGCTTAAACGGTATTCTCGATTGTTCCTGATATTCAGCTGATAATCCCAGCTCGTGTTGCATCGCGAGCCCCTATAAAACCGATTCCAGTGCGCGATCGCCGGAACAAGTGGACACAGAGTCGCGAGTCCCGACTCTTTCCACGGTTATGGAAATCTCCGGCCCCTTTAAGCCGCAATTCCGAGGGTGTAAATCCTCCCTGGCCGTCATACAATATACTCTAATGCCGCATTATACCGTCGGCACGGCGAACGGTTATCTCAATTTGCAGCCAATGCCAGGCCCGTCGTTTAATCGTGCCCTCTCCCCCGTCCCCTCTTTTTTGCATTTTCTTTTTTGTGAATGCTTGTCCACCCACCCCTTTATCCAGACATTTTTTATCCCCTTTTTCAGTTTCTCCGTTTCCTCTCTTTTCTGTAACAGTCTTCATGGAAACAATATTCTATTAAAAATATTTCCTTCGTTTTGATAACAATATTTTGATAATATTTCCTCCATGTACCAATATTTCACTAAAAATATTTCTTGTTTCGATAACAGGCTTTATAATAATCATATATTACTAATTCTAACGTGTTCTTTTGATTATTTCAGAAATATTACGGTGAAGAGTAATCAATGTTCCGAGCTTAATTCGATACATCAGGATTTCTAATAAAAATACATTAAAATATTACTGTGCCTTTGGTACGTAAAATATGAGTGGCTTTCACAAAGTAACGTTAGTAATGAATCTATTAATCGTTGAATAAAGAATTCTTGGAACTCACCGATGAAAATGACATAGCTTGAATATTCCTTTTTCCTTGCCCAATTGTCCAGCATTTATCCAGATATTTCTTGATGCCCTTTTTCAATTGCTCGTTTCTGCCTTTCCTTCCTGTTCGCCTCTGTTCCTCTACTTAAGCCGTTGAACGAACAATCGTTGGTACTCTCGTGCGAAAATGGTATAGGTTTTGAAAGTACTCGATCAGTGGAATAAATCGTGAAAGAGGTGAATGTTTATATTGACCCTTTTCACGTTCGTAATGCGTGAAACGCTGATCCACCCTTCCGTTTCAACCCTTGGGTACGACTCTGTATTGCGTTCGTTATTGTACGGGCATTCTTTGCGGTACATTCAGCTCGGATTTCGAAAACAACATGAAATTTATAATACCAACATTCAATTGGGATTTATTCGAATGGAGATAAAACGCTAAACAATTGTTTTATTTCAAGTCTTAGAACACGCGTAAGCTACACTCGTCAAACGACTAAAGCGTACAAAATTTCTGCAATTCCTAATTGAGATTAATTAGCATAATAGTTAGTAATACCAAATTACTTTTAATTAATATTCTTTTAAGTAACAAAAGGTGTGAACCACAAAATAGAACACGTTGTTTTCCTTAATAAAAATGAAATGCTCCTGTCATGCACAATTTTTCATGATTAAATCGTACGGGAAAGGGTTAAGAACATTTTATCGATACTTATAGACACTAACAATACACAGCAAACTTTTAACCCTTTACACTCCAGAAGTTTTTCACCGGAAATACGCAATATTTTCTAATGAGATACAGATGACATTTTCTCAGATTGAATTAAGAAATCTCACATGCATTGAGGAAGAGAACTATTTTCTTTCAATATTTCGTACATTGACGCGTTATACCAAGTTTACTATTAAATATCAATCTTTACAGTTTTGCTGCGTTATATCATTTGGCGACTGAGAGGCGCCTCTGGAGTGCAAAGGGTTAAAGCGCCTAACACTAAAACTACCGAGCACTTCAATTAATTTTTGAAAATTTTGCTATAGAAACTCCAAGAGTGCATCTGTTCAGACTTTCATTGATTTACAATTCAATTTGCGCAGTGCTAAATGCATTTCTTTAATAATTTCTCAGAGAAACATTTGTTACCTTTCTGATAATTGCAAAAAGAAGACATCAGGCATGGGCCATTTGACCCCTCTGGTAGTTTTAGTGCTAAAGGCTCTAACAATAGGCAAACTGTTAAGTAAGCAATCATTCATTTTTGGTTCACATAAATGGAATTCCACTGTAACTTGAACAATATGTTTCTAACGATCGATTACCGTTTTCCAGAGCGAGGAGTCGCTATCCTCGGAGGGCTCGGCGACCTCGGGTGGATCTTCGAGCTCCACGGAAGATTCTGGCAGCGAGGTCGCCTGCGACATCACTCTGATCGAGAGGCTTATTCGGTCCCATCCGATCTGGTTCCTCCCTGGCATCCAAAGGGCCGGCGCTTTCCACTTGTTGCAAGGCAAAGAGGAAGGGGTGAGTGCACTTAAGCGAATCGATTAGGCGTAAGGAAATTGCAGGCTTCGCCGTGTTTCCCCGGTAGCCGAGTGGCAAGTTTTCCGCGGAAGTGGACAGGTCCCAACCACCAGGCTAAAGGGGCCATCGTTGCGGAAAATTTCACCGCCAGCTTTTCTCGGGGAGAGAAAACTCGCGGAAAATCGTTCCCTACGGTTGGAAAAGTATCTTCACGCGCTAAACCACCGTAAAGCGCCGTTGAACGGTTTTCTTTCGCTTAAATCCTTAGAAAAGGTTCTTGAATACTGGAACTACCGAGCAATCGACTTGGAATTTCTAATTTTCTTATGTTCCAGTTTCTCAACTTGGATTTTCTAGTTTCCTAATGTTTCAACTTGGATTTTCTGATGTTTCAACTTGGATTTCCTAATTTCATAAATTTTCAACTTGGATTTCCTGATTTTATAACTTTTCAACTTGAATTTCCGAATTTTTCTGTGAAAACTTCAAGAGTGCATTTACCGAGATTTCAATTGATTCACCAATTCAGTTTGTTCATTACTAAACCGATTTCCTTATTCGTTTCCCGAAGAATTCAGGCATATAGAATTCGTGCATAAAGACCGGTAATCAAAGAATTATACTTTACACTTTAATTACACCCGCCATACAATTATACACTGAGCAGCCACCAGTTACAACAATAACAGCAAACATTACTACTATCATCACCACCGTCCCTTTCCCCACATGCCCCTAATCAGTCAATTACAAAAGTCACACCTACCAATAAAAACCCGTCTCCGAAAAACCTTATTGAAGACCCAAATCATCGGCAGGTAGCAATATCGACGAACCGTTTCGACCCTTCAGGTACCGAGTAGGTTTACCAGTATTAATGGTATCCAATATAGACGTACTTTGTCCAACATTTCCCAACGGCGGAAAATTTACAACGTCGTCCCGTTATTACGGGGTGGAAGGTTGCTCTAGCGACGCGGTCGAGCGAAGACGGCGCACAATCGCGGGCCCAGGGTAATAAACGACGTCTGAGGAAGCCGTTGAAGTGTCCGCGAAGGGAAAAGCCGGGTCGCGACGAAACAAAGAATATGAAATATTGCGCGGACGATTGTCCGACCGACCGGCGCGGCACGGCGCGACTGGGGATTTTCCGGCGCTTTGATCAGCTCGCTGATTTCCCGAATATTCTCTATAGCATTGTTCCACGGCCCGGGGACAAACGAGGATGGGAAAAGGTGATTTTCATTCGAACGAGCCGTCTCGCCAGAGAATTTTTACATAGAGCCCCTGTGATCTTCCGTCAGGCTCGTTCCGTTCGTATCGATCCCGTGTTTCGCGCTTCGAGGATCGGCCCTGCGGGTTAGTGAAATACCGAGACGCTTGGAATAATGAAATTCTGGCGGAGAAGAATTTATTGGCGAATTGGAAGGATTATTTAGTTACTTTTTCTTCTTTCGGACGTTGTAAGGGTTTGGGGAAGTGTGTGGTTTTTAGAGATATAGAATAGGGGTCGGTGAAATGATTCGGGGGGAAGCTTGATGTTGAGAGAATTGGTTGTATTTGATTGGTATACATGGATTTTTCAATAGATATTTGTATCATCTGAAAGCAATCATATTGCAGGTCACGTATTTCATTGAAGTTGGCGTCAACGACCCCTTCGGCTTCTGTTAATCGATGCTAATTAAATATCTTTCAGAGAATAGAATATTCGCAGAGCACCGTTGAAATATTAGCAACACCAAACGTTTAATTAACCCTTGAATTTAATTCAAATATAGTACTCGCGACCATCCGAACCACTCAGAAGCAATACCAACACCTAAATTGACTAATGCCAAATAAAAATCCTCAGAAGCTTAACCAACAAGACACTAACATATCACAACAACTATAACATCAAATAATCAATAATCTTTTTATATTTCCCGCAAAAGACCAAGCGACACAAACGTCGCCTGCGATCGCAGTAATCGCACTGTGCATCCCGTCTCTAGTTAAAAAGCGGATACACGTTGGTTTTTGCGGTGGACGCGCACTTTGTCACGCGTCCGGCGATAAATAACGCCCCGCGGCGCGCGGAGGAACGTTTAAATCGCGAGGCCGAGCGGCCGGCTCTCGGGGGCGGACTTTTACGAGGCGGCGCGGCGCGCGCGCGCGCGCGCTAACAATGCCACTTGTTATGCGTATTTTCAGCGAGATCCCGCGGTCTGGAATGCCGCCAGCAGCGGAGATCGAGCCAACGTCTGCCCGTTCGCGTTTACTGCATATTAAGCCGGTGCACGCCGGCCCGCGGCCGCTTGCCAAATGGCCGATGCATCGGGGAGATACCTTGGCCGCGGTTGATCTGCCGCCGGGTCGCGATACCATCTAACGGAGTAACTAGGACTAATTGTGCGCCCCGTGTGTCTCGTACATTTGAAATTGCCCACAAGTGGCGTCGCTACGTTTGAAATTCCCGCCAAGCGACTTGTCGCGTTCGAAATTACCGACAAGTGGTTTGTTCAGTTCGAAATTGCTGGCGAATAGTTTGTTAAGCTTGAAATTGCTGACAAACAGCTTGCTAAGATTGAAATTGCTGGCAACTGGTTTACTACGTTCGAAATTGCCGACAAGTTATTTATTAAGTTTGAAATCCCCGTCGTATTATGCAAGGCGTTTGAATTTGCCACGAAGTAAATTGGCAAGTTTGAATTTACCGTCAAATAATCCATTGCTTTGGAATTTCTTGATTCCAAAACGCCGGGGAGGTATTTAAGGGGAAGTTGACGATATTTTAACAGTAAATAATAAAGTTGAATTTCAGAGAGAATTTGTGCTGGTTTGTTGTTTTCTGTTCGTATTGCAATTTGAACTGAGTATTTTAAGAGAATCTTACGAATCGTTGGAATTAGATTGTATTTGATCGTATCCAATTCGGCTTCTCTAATAATAATAATAACTTTATTCAGGAAAAACTCTTGTACAACATATTAGAGATTAAAATCATTACAACTTGTATTCCTCTTCAACTTCCAACGAAGTCAATCGATACACATCAAATTCATGATAATAACCATGATTTCCTTTCTTTCTTCTTCTCCATCGAATCAACGGTTTGATTGGTACATTTCTTGCCTGGTGCCACGAATGCTATTACTACAATGTTCCTCGAATAACCGAGGAACCGATAAAGGACTTATGGTACAGGCGCTTATAGAATCATCGTAGATTCGAGGGGACGATTAGAGACGCGTCAGACATTGACACGATTTTCCATCCGGGAACAATCTCCGTCGACCGCCTCTATTATCCCCGTATTAGATAAGACGATGCGCGCGGCCCGGTTCGATTGTTCGTCGTGTGTCCGATGCATCGCGAGATAAACCGGGGAGGATTTCAAACGGGCCGAGGCGGAGGGAACAATGCTCGGTAACCGGGAACGAGGAACACGGACGGCGAAGTTTCGATAGGTTCTCCCCCTTAGAAAGTGTTCTTTGTTTCCAGCGAGACGGTCGTTTAACCATGGGCCCAATATTGATATCAACTTCATTCGTTTCTGCGACTGTCTTGTGGAAACAACACCTGTATAGTCGCTTCTCACGATATCTGTTGCGTTAAACGAGTATACCAATGACTTTGAAAGGAATTGTTACTATTATGTATGTAGTTTCGATTGAAACAGTTATGAGAAGTTGGAGGAGTGGATAGGAGGGTTGAGTAGATCTGTTGATTGTGAATTGTGAGATATTGATTGCGCTTTTGGTTGTACTGAATGGATATTACGTAGATTTTGTATTGGTTGGTGCCATGTCGAACTGTGGTCAGTGTGGAATTCGATAGGAACATTGAGATGAGATATGTGTAAATATGAAGATATGAAGGTATGGGAATATGGGAATATGGGAATATGGGAATATAGAAATATAGACATATAGATATATAGATATATAGATATATAGATATATAGATATGTAGATATATAGATATATAGATATATAGATATATAGATATATAAAAATATGGAAATATGGAAATATGGAAATATGGAAATATGGAAATATAGAAATATAGAAATATAAGAAAGATTATGCAACAAAATCGAAATCAAAACCGATATAAATCAAATCCAACACGTCCACAACAATTATCAACAATTTTCAGTTATGATAACATTGCAGCAACCAAAAACCGATATTAAACCCCAATCCGTCAAAATTCACGTCGACCATTCGGAAAAAGACTTTCCTCGACGAAACTCTCTGGTATACACGATTTAATTATCCGCGGACGATGTCAAGACGTGACGAGAAAATGATTTTAAAACCAGATCGAGCGCGGAGAGAACTTTCACAACAATGAAGTGGGGTCAAGAACCACTAGAAATTGTATCTAGATGAAATCGAGGCGTCTTCGGGCGTGGAAGCAGGGTCAACACGTTCCAGAGGCTGTATCGGGATCTATGGAGGAGGGCACACTCGGAAACGAGATCGAACGTGGACACGGATTTATGAAAATGTAAAGTCGAGGTCAAGCATGCCACGGAGAAGACGGAGAGAATCGGGATCGGGTCAAGCGTTCGATGAACGGTCGATTGATCGAGATATCTCGTCCATGCATCCGTTACACTATCATTTACTAGAATTTACTGGATAGATCGAAATGACCCATTTCGTGTTTCTTCTTTGACAATTATTGAAAAGACACAGAGGCTTTTCTGAGAAGTTGTTAAACTTCAATTCCGTCAGATGAAAGGGTAATCAAAGTATGTAATAAATTTCGTAGGTTCAGCATTCTTTACTAAACATTGCAACAGTTTATTCAATTATTCAACTTTCTCAGTTATTTAAATCCCTAAGTTCGCTGAAGTACACTGACAAAACCTCTGAGCTAGCTAATATTAACTAAGGAATATCACAAGCTAATCAACTAAGAAATGCCACAAACTAGCTAATGGCAACTATAAAATGTCACAACTTCGCCAATATCAACTAAGAATAGTCCCAAGTTTCGCAGCATCAACCAAAGACATCTAAATACATTCAACACTAAACATCATTAGAATCTACCCAGAATCATCTGATAAACTCCGTAGTTTAATAAATTCCCTATAAAAGCTATCGAAGCTAGTTTCACACGAAAAATATCGAAACCAGTCCAATATCCGGCAAGGAAAGCGTTCCAAGCCAAGTGTCTCGGTTGGTAAGTATCCCAAAACTGACCAGCATTAACCGAAGAGTGTCCCGGCCGAAAGCTACTTCACTGCCAAGTAATTTCTTGCCAGACTGAATGAGGAAAATTGGGTGGCGGGCGTGGAAGGGAGATGGCCCGTAATCAGCGGGGGAGCCGCGAACGAGCCGTGGCATTGTGGCAGCATTGTTTTCCTGGCGGCTCATTGTTTTCCAGCTTTGTTAATCGTCCCGAGTCCCCGTCGCATCGGCGTCCACGCTCGAATTGCTCGGCCGAAAAACAATGCCTGCCGCAATTACTTCTCCGTGGGCGAGACACCCCCACCGCTGCGACGAAACACGGCCGATGATTGCGAGAATCCGTGCGTTCACTGTCGGCCGGGGTTGGAAACGATGTCGAGCGATCTGTTGAATCGCTGCGAAACACGCTGCACAGTTTTTAATCTAGAGAAATGTTGATTGAATCTGCAGTAAAAACTTGTATCGTTTGCTAGCCCTTTCATTACATTTGACACTAGAACTGGCGAATAGTCGAATTGACTTTTCGAAATTTTTCTCTAGAAACCGCCAGTCGTATTGAACGATTTTGCCACTATTGAAATTTCTATTGATTTACAATTCAGTTTGCTGATCGTTAAATCAATTGCTACGGTAATTTCTCCGAGAGTTATCTGTTATCTTTGTAATAACTGTAAAAAGAAAGAATCAGTGGGTCATCTTGACCTCTCTGGTAATTAATATTATTAGTTATATATATTCTATTAATGTATAATTTATGTTTACTTTTGGTTATTTGTAGGCTTGTCTGCAGTTGCACAGATTCTAATTTCTCGGTATATAAACAAGTACGAAAAGTATATTGTTTGCTGTTACCGTTTACTATAGAAACTCCATTTTAGTATAACAGTCACATCTTTCTTCTGTTCAAGGTATATTTAGATAGCCAAAGTGCCTAATTCTATGATTTTCATTATTTAAACATAATTATCATAACTGTTTTAATTCCAATATGTTTAATTCACGCTCTCACAATCTATCGCCATGTATAAATTCCTCGACATTCGTGTCGCAGACTTCAAATATTTCGCCTATCAGCCCCTTTTCCTCTGCAGTGATACCAAAAACCAAAAACAAGACACAACATTGATACTTCTATATTTACAAAACGTTCTACGCTTCTGCTATTTGCAGGATCCATTGCTGCTTGAATTATTTATACATCGGACCGAGTGAATCAGCCGAGAATTGATCCGCGACGGAAAAGGGGGTGGGCGGTTACACCGGGACGTTCAACCCTAGAATAAATACATACAGTGTGTACCGAACATAGAAACGGGACAAGAGAGACGTTCCATTCCAGCGATTAAAGTGAACTCCGCTCGGAGCTAGAGGCTTTTGTCCCGAAAAGAAAAGGGATGCGCGGCGGGGGTTGAATCCGCGGCGGCAAAGTGGAGCATAAAGAATACGCGCCGGCCGTTTCCAGCCTTTCTTTTCCTACCTAGCTTTGTTTCTTCTGTCCTTTTAACCGCGATACCCGCGTCTGGATCCCGCGGAAACCGCCTCGTCCAATCGACGACGGAGAGAGACGATTACGGATCTCCGAGGGAAAACCTCGCTGTAGAATTATGCAACGCGATCCACGCGTCCCTGAGAGCCTCGCATTGTTCTTCCTTTTTTCAGGCCACGCTCTCTCGCTGGGAACGAGGATTCACGCCGGCTAAATTTATGGGCCGAAATGACTGCGCGTGTCTCGTTTCTTTTGTCCCTGTCTCTTAATGGGAATTTGTATACTTGACACTGGAACTGCCCGATGGGTTAACCCCTTGGCCTATGATTTCTATCTCAACTCTGATCGATACGGCTACTTTGTCATTAATAATTTATTGGAAAAAGAGAAAAATTCTAAGCATATATTATGCCTATATTTCCTTTTAAGTATAATAGTTGATTACAGAGGAATAATATTTACTTTGAATTCGAATGAACTGAGTAATATATATGTATATATATTTATTGAATCATGTTGAAAATCTTCGCCACGAGTCTCACTCGTTGTTGTAGAACAAAGGGTTAAAATGACTTTTTTCCTGTTGTAAATATTGTAGAGATATATACGTTTCGTTGGGAAATTGTTAAATAAATTGATTCGATAATGGGCGTTCCGAGATGCAAATGTACGGCGAATAAATTGTAGACGCAACGTAATTTGATTTATCGCTGTATTGAGCAATTATACTATATATTGTATATTAATGTGGTTACTATATTATGATTAGATTAGAAATTTGTAGACATAGATTGATGAATGATCGAAATGTTTGAATTAACGATATCCTTTTCTTTTTCCTGTTTCCAGAACTTCGTCGTTCGGCAGTCGAGTCAAAGCGACACAATGGCCCTCTCCGTGAGACTGCCGCCAGGAAAGGGACCGTACATCGAGCACTACTTGATCCAAGCCAACAAGGGGAAGCTGAGCTTGGAGACCAGCGAGAACAGGTTCGACAACATCCCCTCGTTGATCGCCCACTATTCTCAGTGCTGGTGAGTCGAGCTTCTAGAATTCACTCTAATAACGTATACAGTAGGCATGCCCAAGTAGGGCTTTCGCGAACAAGAGTCCTGTTCGTGGCGAGCGAAGCTATGGAAGAGTGGGGATGGAGCGTGGAGCTCTACCTACGTATCGTCCTGGCATATTATTCTTTGGGGGCGTGGTTTCGCTCGCGTGTGACAATTGGCTCATCGAATAGAGTAATATTAGTATGATAATGACAATTGGCTCATCGAATAGAGTAATATTAGTATGATAATGACAATTGGCTCATCGAATAGAGTAATATTAGTATGATAATGACAATTGGCTCATCGAATAGAGTAATATTAGTATAATAATTAATACAGTATTATTACTAGTATCAATATTAACTAGTTAAGCCTCAGACACCCAATCGAAAGCAGAGACACAGCAGACAAGAACTGCAACTACTGCAACATATTTCTACTAACTGTATATTGCTACCAACATAAATTTCATATCTTAAATCTCTATCTCATTTCTGAAGTAAAAACAACCATCCCCTATACTTAGTTTAACATTTATACAGACACTTCTAATAGTATTAACCAGATCCAAGTCATATTTAACTCTTTGCACTCGAAAGTTTTCCACTAGAAATATTTGAACATTTTCTATTGAGATAAAGACGATATTTCATGAAACTAACTCGAGAAATCACACGTATATTGGAGAACAATTTCATTTTCTTTCAATGTTTCTCAAATTGATGCATCATTCGAGGTATAATATTAAATATAAAATTTTATAGTTTTACTGTATGAAATCAAGTGGTGAATGAGAGTCACCTCCCGAGTGCAAAGGGTTAATCCATATTAAATAGTACCATTATACAGTACTGCTTCTACAAAATGTTTCTACTATCCACATATTACTGCCAACACAAATTTCCTATACTAAATCTCCATATCATTACCAAAGTCGAAAACAACTCCTACGCTTAGCTCAACATCCACAAAGCATCCGTTACAATCAGTTCTCTTCGAAGCATTCAATCTTTCCCAATACACGAGCAATCAGCACAAACAAACCTCTCATCTGACATCGTAAACCACCTGCGTTTCAATCAACATCGTTCAACCCATAGAAATCGCAGACGACCTATCCCCGCGATTCGCGGAACAAGTTGATTCACTCGATGCCGTGCCGGTGAATTCAGTTTTCCGATCCGCGGCTGAAATTGCACACCGATCAAAACACATCGCCCGAGGATTAGGCCGGCGGCGCTTTTTGTCTCTCTCTCTCTCTCCTCACTCACGCGTTGCATAATTTATCGAATTCCCGGAGCAACGGAAGCAAGTCGAGCCGCGAATGAAACCTGCCCGGTGAAAGTCGCGGTGCGGCGCGGCGCGATCGCGTCCCGAGATAATTCAAACGGTTAATGGAAGCACTGGAAAGCCAGCTTCGCGCCATTAAGCCTGGTTTTCGTGATAATCGACGCGCCACCCCGTTTTTCCTTTTAAACCGACACTGGTTGTTAATGATTTACCGGCGTTCCGCTCGTTTTACCGCGGCGTGTTATCATTCTATCGGGGCGATCTGATAATGCGCGCACGGTTTTCCAGACCGATGTTCCCCTCGTTCGTTATCGCGGCTTGCTGCTGTCTAGGTGCTGAATTTCCAGGATGTTTCGAGAATAGAGGCTTTCCGTGACCGAGGGAAACGACAATTGCACGCGTTCATAATGCGTGGCTCGCGGTTGAGGGAAATAGAATGGATGAACCTGCTTCTGGCAATCGTGATAATTGCACTGCGGATCTTTACGGGATTTTAAATTTTTTAGTTTTTTGGTAATGAGTGTAATTTTATGGTTTCGAATGTTTCGTGAACGTGGACAAATTTGCAGTTTAATGATAATGGTATCTTTGCTTCGCGGTACCGAGTATAATTATTGTTACAAGGAAACAAAAGAAATTTGTAATGAAGGAAGGGTGTATATTATATATATATCTAGGAAGTAACGTGCATTGAATTCCAAAGTTTACATTTTAATTGCCAGGCTTGATACACGTAATCGGATCGCAGTTTGCTCAACTTTGTTGCGGTACTATTGTTTCGCTTAATGAGTTACATAATCCCCACTGTTTCCTATGATCATGTTTCACTGTCTCGTGGCAGTTTCCCACTCGATTCTGAATCGTAAGTAAGCTTATCTACCGATCGAATGGTAAACAAACTTCTCTATATAAGTTAGTGCAGTTGTGCACTGTTCTCGAAGTGGTGGTTGTTGCTGAATTAACCCTTTACAAACTGTAAAATTCACTCATTGACTATATTATAATATTTATATGTATAATCAATAGAAAGAACAATAATATCGTTTATTTATATGTAAATATGTTTTTTTTCTATTGAAAGTGCTTCGAATCCGAGGAGTCAATCCCTTACACTCTCAACTCGACATCAGATTAATTCAAAAGTGTCGTTCTCCGTCGAGGCATTTTTACATTGTACTTTGTTATTATACTATTTTCAATGGTATTAGTAAAAAGAATTATTTGCAGTATCTCTTTTTAACTCTTTGCATTCGTCTTTCAAAATACGTTTCAAATAAAATACTGAGAATAATAGAAGATTGTCGAAAAGAAAATGTAAAAGGAACTGGAAGTGGAAAGGATTAAAGTGCTCCGCCATTTTTGTCAAAAGCGAGTGATTAAGAGTAGACAGGTTAATTCATCCTGATTCGTTTGTTTTCCTTCGGCAAGCAGTGACGAATTGCCGGTCCAATTGACACTGCCAAGGGCGATGCGAGAGGCCAAGAATAGGCAGCAGCTGTCCTCTCTGGCGCTTCTGGGCCAAGAGTTCTGGAGATACCCGATGGCGAACCCGAAGCCGCCGGAAAGCAGCAGCAGCAACACGTCGAGCTTGAGCAGCTTCCGTGGCGGTAAATTTAATGAAATTAATATTAACACATTAAGCGCCATGTCAGTCATCGGTGACTGACGCTTCCGAATCACTGGAAAACAATCGTAACATACAAGATAACTGATGTGAAATGAAAATGTTTAATAACGTAACTCAGTTGACAATAGTGTAATGTGAACATTGTAACGTCAAATAATTAATAATTATTCCTGCCTTTCTTTGCTACAAAAGAAAAACTTTACAGTGTCATATATTTGTGACGGCCGTAATGCTATATTTTACATAATGAAAATGATATTAATCCTATAAATATTGTTATTAGAAATTATAAACTACGACATTGTATTTAGAAACTCAATGACTCGTTTCAGTTTCATTTTTATAATATTTTGTTCAGAAGATTTATTGGATTGAAGGAAATATTGTAATTGAGGAGGCCGTCAACGAAATAAGTGCTGATAGCGAACGGGTTAACATGTTAATGATGTTAGGACGCTCGACATTTGATTTACGACGAGGGTTGTTATATTGTACACTTCACTGTATTGTTTTTAAACAGATATGTGTTCGCTTATGTGGATCTTGGAAATTAGAATTTCAATTAGAGTTTCAAACTTAAGGTCGGAATTTGGTTACGTAATACAGTTGCATCAATAAAAATTGACATAAGCTTGATAAATACAGAATTTAAATGTAAATATAATTTATGCTCCTTTAACGATAACGTTCGATTTTCAGGTAACAATAATCATAGCAATAACAACAACATCCACACACCAACCACAGAGAGTATAGTACTGAACCTCGCACCGATATCATCGCACGATACACGTAAGTCGCTGCTAAACGAATTTCGTATAGTAATGCTTGAAATGATCTTTAAAATCAGAAACAACTAACCCTCGAAGATAACTCAATTATTTGAACACTACGCGGAGTTTTTTGAATGTTTCCCTTTTCCTCAATTTGAAAAGTACATCAAAGTACATCAAGTACATTGTAGTCCTCAATATTCATAACAAAAAGCAAAAGTACGTCGACATAATGAAATAAGAAAAAAATACGTAAATATCTTAACGCTAAAATTACCGTTCCAGTCAAAATGACTGGTTTCGATCTTCTGTTTCGTAATGATTGATACCTTCAAAGCATTGAATATTCGAAATGATCTTAAAAATAAATAGTTTCACTTGCGTACTATAATGAACGTCTAAAGAAACTGAAAATAATGTATTGTTACAATATTCATAGGGATTGCAAATTAATCGTATTAAATGCTCGGTAGTTCTAGTGTTAATATTCAAAACACTCCATCAATTAGAAGTAAATTTCGAATTTACCCTTCAACTCGCAATGCAAAAGTTCCTCGAACAATAAATATTTAACACCAGAACTACCATTCTTGATTTTCATACAATTGCTGAGGAAGTACAGATGCTTCTCTAATAAATCGTTAAAGAAGCTGATTTAGTAATACCTACACTGAAATATAAACCAATTGAAATCTTAACAAATACACAGTTCTAAGTTTTATAAAGAAATTTGGACAGTCAGTTTAAGTGCTTGGTAGTTCTAGTGTTAAAAGAACAGAGTTCACGACGCCAGAGAACAAAGCTCGATCCGACGTCCTCCACGCCTCATAAATCCCTATCCGTCACAGCGACGTATCCCGAACGGTCGGCCGCCGGTACGAAAATAATCCCATATTTTTATTTCCAGGAAGCACATCGCCGACGACGGCGATTACAACGTCAACGTTCGCGTCCTCGTTGCCCCGGCAGCCGCGCCCGACGCCCCCGAACACATTGAACCTGACGACGTTCAATGAACCGTTGGACGTGAAGAAGATATCGCCCAACGAGAAGCTGTCGCAAAAGCTGATCTCGCCGAACCTGGTGCAAAGCGTGCGTTGTCCATCCCCGGTGGTCCACAACGTGGAGAGCAATGTGCTGAGCCCTGTCCAGGACGCGAAGATCGGCTTCGAGTCGAAGAACATGGCGGAAACGTCTAAGTCGACGATAGTCGAGCTGTCCAGGACCAGATTCTCGTCGATGAACGTAGCCACGTCCAATTTCCATCAGAACGTCTCCACGTTCAACAATCTCTCCTGCACGAACTCACCGGTGCTGCCTGAGATCAGAAACATCATCAGCGAGAACCACATGATCGGCCAGAACGTAAAGACACCACCGCCTCCGCCGCCGAGATGGGCCAAACCGGGACTAGGACACACGCAGAACAACTTCGCGGTTACCGCCACGGTCACTTTCAACGTGAACCAAACGACTGATATCTGCAGTTCACAGGTGATTGGAGACTGTTCTGACCCTTTTGTTGGTTGACTATGACCGTAATCGATGTAGATGTTTGTGAACTTGTTTATGGAAAGAGATGTAGAATGTTGTTTATCCTAGCGAGGACTCTATAATATTCTAAATATTCAAGTGGTAGTAGAATTTCTTTTTAGAACTATCACAACTATCAGAACTAGTCTTTTCATACTGTAATCGCTCAGCTTGATTGTAAATTAACCCTGTGCACTCGGAAATCTTCTTTAAGACGAATTGAATGAAGGAATGTACATAAGTTAAGAAAAAGTTATTATTTCAATATTTCACATATTGATGGATTATAAGGAGCTTAATATTATACGTAAGACTATGATTTTGGTATATCAAATCGTACAGTGACTGAGAGTCACCTCTCGAGTGCAACAGATTAATATCTCCATTGATCTACTTAATATCAATAATATATTATTTATAAATATTTCATCCAGCTTTAGCATTAAGCTTCCCTAGTCAACTTCAAATCAGAAATACTCTAAACCCCTAAAATCGGTAGTCACAACGAAAGGGTAGCAAAAGTGACCGTCAGAGTCCTAATTTCTAATCCAAGAATTTCTACGGATCTTCCAGAACACACCGTCGGACCCCAACACGTCGCTGCTGAGCCCGCAGAGCGCAACGTCGAACAAGTCCCTGACATCGAACTTCTCCGTGAAATCTCCGTTGTCTCCGAACACGCCGGTCCTCTCGCCGATGTCGAAGCTAGTCCCGAACCCCGGCGGCAAGACGCCGAACGTTCTCTCGCCGACGACCCCGTCCAGCACCAGCAAATCGAAACGAAGACGGGACCGCGAGGCGCGCAAGAACTCCCAGCACTACCAGGAGTCGGACATACTGGAGTCTTACTATCGCAGCTCGCCGGGCGACAAGATCTCCGACTACGAGGACATATGGAACACGACCGACCAATCGAACCAATCGACCTGGTCGCCGAACGACAAGCTCCCGAGGAGCGAGGCACCGCCTAATCCTCAGGAGCGGCTGAGAAATTCGAACGACCGGCTGATGATGGCGCAAGACAGGCCGTCGAATCCGGCCGAGAGGAGCTACAACGACAGATTGACCACGAACGAGCTGATCGTCAGGAACGACAGGATGATACTGAGGAACGACAAGTCGATGGGCAACGAGAAACTCAGCTACAAGGAGATGACCAGCCCAGAGTTCAGCAGCTTCAAGCCTGTCCTGGACGCGAAGCCCAGCGAACATGGGAATGGCTCGCCTGAGGAGACTGGCATGGGGAGGAGACCTGATCTTTTGTCTCGAGTTTGTGAGTAGCTTGCTCGTGGATTGTGACCTAGCTGTCAGTGCTAAGGATGTGCATAGAGATTTGTAATTCTGAATTATAGGTGGTTTTAAGTTTGCCAGTAGTTTCTAAATTGTGAGCTAGCTTTTGCTATCAGTGCTAAGGAGATGTATAGGGATTTGTAATATAGTACTGAATTATAAGTGGTTTCAAGTTTGTGAGTAGTCTGTGAATTGTAAGCTAGCTTTTGCTATCAATGCTAAGAGGATACTTAGAGATTCGTAATATAATTCTGAATTATGGATTGCCTACACTGGAATCCTGAAAATGTAGTTTTCAAAATATAGCTTCGAAGCTTTGAAATGAACGAAAGTTTGTGGAAGCTCCGGTTTCGGGCAGTATTGAAATGGAGCGAATTTGTTTATATAAGACTTTACGATGTTTGATACTGCTTTCGCTTTGGTTTGACCAATTAACACGTTGAATGTCATGAGGGTTACCGGTGACCCCCGACCAAATCGAATTACTATAGTTCACTCAATAAAGCGATGATTCTATGAAAACATTTCTATATTATAAATAATGCTACCCAATACGGTGACATTCAACTAGATGAACGCGATAGTAATAATGCAATTCGATTAAATGATTTAATATTATATTTCTTCCATTCTGTGTATTTTTCTCTATAAAATCGTGCGTTCAACGTGTTAAACATCTCTGAATCTCAAGAACTAAAACTCTAATCCTAGTCTGTCCAGTTTTTCTCAGAATCGATGTATTATTTCTGAGAATTAAGTCGAGGATGTTCATCTGTGCAGGCAGCGCGAATTCGTTGAACAGTCCGAGCACGATCACGCCTCCCAGGAACAAGCTGGGACTGATGCTGGCCAAGTCGGAGAGCAACAGTCCTCTAACACCCGAGTCGAAGCAGGGCAGCCCATTCTACGCGGAGCCAGCGGATGCCATCGCGCAGAGCGCAGCGATAATACCAAGAAGACGAGCCAGGAACAATCCAGCGACGAACAAGTACCGGCACAGCGAACCTGGCTGGCTGCAGACACCGGTTGGCGTGAACGCGAATCAGCTGCACCCGATTGACTGGGAGGAGACGGAGGAGACAGAAGACAAGACGCCTCTGATATCCTCCTCCGTGGACAACTTAGCCAAGCGACTCGGCACCAAGGACGTCAAGAAAATCCCCCGAGCCAAACCTGTGCAACCACCAAAGATCAGGACCAAGGTGTTCAACGACACCTCCTGGGCTGTAGACTCCAGCTGGGAATTCATTGGTAGGCTGACATGGACCGTTTAACGCGTTCGCTAGCACCGCTTATTTCGCTGACGGTCTCCTCAATTATAATACACCTGAACTGAAAGTATGGAATATTATTATAAATATCGAATAATTAACTATAATACACCTGAACTGAAAATATGGAATATTATTATAAATATCGAATAATTAACTATAATACACCTGAACTGAAAATATTGAGAAGCTGGTATAAGTTTTAGGAATACATATTTATTTCACATAGCTCAACAACAGAAATAATAGTAATGACATTTTAGAGAACAAAAGTATATTTTAGTCGCTGTTACTAAATTCAGATCGCGTGAAAATTGTCCGCATAAATCGAGGGTCAGGTGTATTTCCTTCAATCCAATAAATCTTCTAAACAAAATATTAGAAAAATCAAACTGAAGCGAGTCGTTGAATTCCTAAATATAATGTCGTAGTTTATAATTTCTAATAACAATATCTCTAAGATTAATTTCATTTTCATTCTGTAAAATATAGGGTTACGGCCGTTACAAATATGTGAGGCTGGTAGCAAACGTGTTAAATTGTTACCCACGATTAACTTCTTTTAAATATTTCTTTAATTAGTACTAAGAAATTGATTCCTTGTTCATACAATTTTATTGAATCCTGCTCTTTGCTTCTTGGAGTTGATCACTTTGCAAATGGTTCGTTTCAATCTATCTGTCTTTAATTTTATTCGAAGACTTTATCATGAACTCATCAGTTCATTCCGTTTGAAGTATCATTTCAGTAGACTGATAGAAGCTTATCAGGACCCATGAACACAGGTGGCTGAATTCTTGATGATATTCTGATGTTACCTTGGAACGATGTTACCATACTCTTGGATTTTTTAATTTCATTTCATTGAAATTATCTCTGCGTTATGTCTGCATTACATGTGTCAGAACAAAATCGCCAATGGCAAAGATAAGAGTACCATAATTGAGGATATAAGAAAGCCTATCTTCGATATTATTTGCAATACTCGAATTATTAAACGTTCCTTTCACAATCACTCGATAAGATTAGATCATTTCATTAATCTAACCGGATCGATCGTTCTTTCGGCGACCGTTGCCTCTATGTCTAACGTGACGGAGTTGTTGCAATTATTGTTTACGGTCCACAGTTCCGTCGTTTATCGATTCAAAAAGAGAAGAAGGGATGAAAACGGGCTTCTCGAGTCGTGCGTGTCGAATTAATCGATTGTCAAAACAACTTGTTTATTCGTTATCGTGGTCATCGGTTGATTATCATGTTTAGGTAACGAGGGAGACGACTGCGAGCCAGACTACGACTGTGATGCGGATTATGAGGCCGATAATGTGGCCAGAACGTTTCCGGACGAGGAGTGCGACAGGGACGTTGTTGGGAACACTTTGACCGTTCAGAGTATCATTCTCCAACGGTGAGTATCTAACGAAATCGATCTGATTTCATTTGCTTAATTGTTCGATAACTCGAATAACAAGACAAACATAATTTTATTTGTATAGAGAGCTCCGAAGAAAAACATGTCAAATCACTCTTTCATATAAATATTCAATATTTCATTGTAAGTGTAAAGAATATAATTTCCAAATAATAATAATATAATTTTCAAACAATATTTATTTAGAAATATTCAATACCTACTGATGAGATACAGACGACATTCTTTAAAACCAACTAATGAGAAAACATAAATTAAGGAACAAAGTTATTTTATTTACACAATATTATGCAAAGTTTAATATTGTACGTAAAACTTTATAACTTACTATTTCAGATAATGATGCGGTTTTGTTACTACTTTTGTGGTTAAGACTTCCTCGATTATTCTGTATGTAATTCTATTTTTGTATAAAAACACATGTTATAGCGAAAAGTTTTTAAACGATGTCGTTTCTGGTGTTTCACAAATCGTCATTTCGAAAAGAGTAATTGTACATGCTTGTGGAAGACTTCATGATCCACAAGAAATCGTTCGAAACACGTATACAAAAAAGAATGTTGCTTTGTTGGTCAGGTACCCAGAGCTGTTGAAACCACCGGACACGTCGGAGTCGCTGTACAGTGACAGAAACTCCTCGTATGACAACGTTGAGAAGAGGAACGAGAGGGAGGACGTAGAGGACACCAGGAAAGACCAAGCCTACGACTCCTCCGAGTGGGAAACGCCGCTGGAGACGGACGAGAGCGACGTGGAGAGGATGAACAAGAGCAAGAACATCAAGGAGCGGCTGGACTCCCTCCTTTGTAAGTGACCTTCGCAATAATAACATCAAATATTCTGCAAAATCTTTCGAACCGAGCCGAGCATGTGAATTCCAATAACAGGAAAATAGAAACGAAGCGATAGAATGAATGTCCTTAATTTTTAAAATGGTCCAAGTCACTTCAAGCATTAACACGTTAAGCGCCAAGAAAGTCTTGACGATTTTTCTGTACGGTCATCCTTTTCAGCAAAGAAAAGTAACAACAATTATTTGACGTTACAATCTTTACATCACACGATTATCAACTTAATCACGTTATTAAACATTCCGATTCGACATGGATTACCTTGCATGTTACGATTGTCGTCAAGTAATTCAGAAGCATCAGTCATCGGTGACCGACACGGCATTTAACGTGTCAAAAATCATATTTCCTTACAACTCGCACACATTACACAATGATAATAAGTTCTTGCTTTTCAAGGCTGAATGCTTCCTAAAACATTTCGTTACATAGTACTATATCGTTCAATCCACTCGAACACAAACTTCTAAATATCCCAAAACTAAAAATACACTTCGTCCACTCTCGAAGTTAACGGCAGAATCATTTGCCAACGATAACAACCATTACGAAGTGTCTAAATTCAAAATTAGAGGTTCGAACACTTGTCTACACGAAAAATAAGGGATCGAGTAAACGATATAATCCCACAGGAATTTTTAACTTCGGGTCAAAGTTGACCCGGCTGTCGCCGGGTGGGCGACGGTTACAATTACATTTCCCACAAACGTCGGAAAGGCTCGATCGGTAATGGATGTCATAATTTTCCGTTTGCCACGAGAAGTTAATCGGCTTTATGCTCTCTTGGTATTGCGACTTGCACGGCGGCATCGTTGGCCGACAAACGCAGCATCGAGGGTCAATCATCGTTGACTCATTATCGCCGCGACGGAACCTCGGTCCGCTAGAAATTCTTCTGTATCTCGTTGCGCCGCGCTCGTCATTGATATCGCGTGCGTGCGAGGGAGAGCAAGAGTGGACGAACATCGGGGAACGTAATAATTGGCGAGGCCCCGGCGATGCTTCAATTAATATATTGCACAACAGCTGGCTTATCCAATAAAGTTCACGGCCGATAACAAATGCAAATGCGGGGTCGCGCGTCGACGGCTGGTCGACAAAACAAATCGACACCTTTCCCGCCGCGACACCTTTTGTCGACAAACAATGCGCCAATTAGATGTATCAGGGAGGGTCAAGATGAAGTATAATCAAAGCAGTACTTATTAGAACTATCATAGAACGTATCAGTTAGAATGACTGGGTTTAACACGTTGACCGCCACAAAATCCTTTAGAGTTTTGTATATCGCTTATTCTTTTGTAACAAAAATAAAGAAGCAGTTATTTATTAGTTGGTATTGAAATGTTTACGTCAGTCTGGCATCTAGTTATTTACGCTATTAAACATTTTCATTGGATATTAGGTATTTGACGAATTAACATTGTTTTCAAGTGATTTGGATGCTCATCGGTGACCACCGTGGCAGTCAACCTGTTAATGTTATTTTTCATTTACTGATATACATATGTTAGATATGTGAAATTATTTTTGAAATGTTCATCGTACGTAATCTGTGGAATATCAGTAGAAGTTAAAACAAATGTAACTTTATAATTGTTATAAGAAAAACATATTAATCATATCAAATGATTGGTAGTTTTTGTGTTAATGTTGCGACTGCAGATCTTTATGTAAATTCTACTTTTTTAAGGATACGATTGGGATTGCAGAATATCGTTAGGAAATGGAGTCTCAAGAAATATTATAGAAAGCAGTATACTTGGAATGTTTTAAATATTCTCTTGTATTGTGTGCATTTTGAGTAATACTGTAGTTTCAAATTTCCTATAAATATGACGTTTAAAATTCGTAGTTTTTAAAGCTACTGGGAGGAGCTTGTTGCCATTAGAATCTTTGATGCTAACGAACGGTAATGATAAAATACTAATTCAAATACAAATTTCAAAATCAACCATTTTATTATGCACTACTCCTCGATTTCAAGGGAATCCAATTTCACCGACTTTAGTAATAACCGAAAGTAAACGAAACTAGTAATACCAAATTTCGAATTGGTTAGTAACTGTATTAAAATATCAGCTGAATGATTGTTGACTCTCAACACTCGGCCTTCACGCTAAATTTACTCCAACGATAAATACAAGATTTTTGTCTAGGATAGTGAATTATTAACTCGGAACCAGCTCCCGCGACCCCGGCGAAGAAAAAGATCGCCAGGCGATCGGCGACGGGTTAATTTCGTCAGCACGACAGAACGGAAAATATTTGTCTCGCCTCCGATTGATCGTCAATGAAGACTCGATCCTCGGGTGCACAATCGAAACGTGACATTGTTTACCGGCGAGCGTGGCCGCGGTTTCGAGCGAGTGATTCACCGCGACAATTGTGGGAGCGCATCGCCGCGTGCATCGAGCATATCACGGAGACCGCGTCGTGGAAGGTCAGACCGGACGATGCACGCGCGACTCCCTCGTTGTCGAAAGAAAGAAATCGACGGATGCGTCAGATGATGGTGGAATAAGGCTGAACGCACACGAAATGTCGCAGTTGGAATTGACACGTTGACCGCCGTACGATTTTACGTAGAAATACAGAAAATGGAAAAAATATTCAGTTGTACTAAGAGTTTTTGCTTTATTCATATACGTAAAGGATCCTTAACGCTTTATGTTTTATATTATGCCATTGAATTGTGCATAATACATTCCTTCATTTTCCCGAAAATTCCATAACACTATGTTTCTGAAGCTTCTGCTAGACATAACATTGCCGACGGAGCACGAACCGAACGAATGGAACAACAATATAATATCAGATTATTTCATTAAATCGTTTTATTATTGCAGGTTTATCTTGTCGAATGTCATTGCATTAGATAGTATTATTTATAATATAAAAATATTTGCAGATAATCATCGTTTGATTGACTGAATTGTAATAATTCAATTTAGTCAGGGGTCACCGGTGAGCCTCACGGCATTCAACGCGTTAATATTGTAAAATACTCAAGTTTCTGAAACTTCAACTGTAATACGTTGCCTGCCAAGATAATCTTGAGGGTTTTGTATATCGCGTACTCTTTCGAAACAAAGATATAGTTAGATAGTTAGATACAGTTAATTAGGTTTACATTTTTATTCGAGGCCAATCATTTTAGATATCATAATTGTTTTCAAGCTTGATTATGACTATTGAAAACTTCTTAAAAGCTTCGAGATTGATTCCTAAGTCTTCGAAGTGTTAGGAACAAGACCTTGAAGACTTCAGCTTTCACGGCACAACGGACTATAGCTTACAGGACTCGGACTCAGAACGTATTTTTACAATACTAATCGAAACAACAAGGAAACAAAGTTCTTTTGTCTTGCCAAAAGAAGGACAAAAGAACTTTACGTCTTTGTTCTTCCAGAAGAGTCGCCGCTGCGGCATTCTGCCGCAAATCGCTCGTGTGTATTCAGCCTAACGCGTCGCTAGATTTCCTCGGATCAGTCGGAGAAGATCGGAGGAGATCGATTCCTTCGCAGATTTTCGACGCAGTAAAATACGGTCACGGTTCCCGTGCTCCGATTTCGCGATCGTTACGCTTGTCATCGGCGTTACTCTAATCGCTGCTTAGTCCCGTTGACCAGTCGGGGAAACGTTAAGCCCTATCGCACGCGTAGGAATGAATACCGACGAATTACAAGCATGTTACGAATGTCTGAATTATCTATTGTTCTTTAATTGATCGACGATACTCTTTATTTCTGAAATAGGGCTAACTTCTTTGTGCGTCGAGCTTCAAGATTTTTCTGATTGCCGTAAAAATGGCGTCGCGTGCTACGCGTAACGAGTAATCGGTCTATAATTATAGCGATGACTGTTGTTTTATCTTCTATCGTGTATTCATTGGTATAATTTGTATACTTTGTATATATCATTTTTAAAATTCTTGTAAGAAATATCGAAGATCAATTTCAAATCCAATATGGCGGCAGAGTGAGTCTACACGGTCGGCCATCTGGGAATACTCCTAACGAGAAACATATGTAACTTTGTTTTAATTCGTTCGTTAGTGTACGTTTATGTTACTGGTGAGACGTCTCTTTTAATAATAATTATGCTTCCGTCACGAACCGTTTCGCTCGTTGTATATCCGGATTTGGTTATAATATCCACGCGAAAAAGGGACAGAATTTTGACCTGTATCGGTGATCACGTGCCCGCCTCGTGACAAGTTTTTACGGCCGCCCGAATATTCCGTTCCCCTCTAACGCTTTGGTGTTACCCCGGGATTTCCCTGTCCTTTGTGCGTTCAAACGATGAAAGAAGCGCAGTGTTACATAGCTGTAACGTGAATATTATATTGTTACAAAAAGAGAATGACAGTTTTTCCTCTAAAATGAAAAAATCATGGGACTTTTGTATCGACATAAGATTACAAAGCGACGCTCATTTTCAATTATACGGTACAAAGATTAAATTATTGGAAAATATTATCATTGCTAATAATAATAACAATAACAATAACAACGATAATAGTATCGATATTAACAATTATTATTGTGATTAATGTCGAATAACTTAATGAATTAATAAGATTAATTCAATAATCTTCATTACTATCAGTTTTATCGATACTAATAATACAAAGAATAATAATATTAATAATAACATTAATAATAATAATAATTGAGTTAATTATTAAATAATCTATTATGCATATTCTAAGTTGAGATACAATCTTAGCAAGTTGACGCTCTAAAATCGCAATTATTCGTTTTGTCCTATTGTCGATGACGTACAAACGCGACACGCGTTGCGGAAACGATTACACGCTATCATGCAATACGACGGTCTTTATCGGGGAAGGTTTCAGCCAAAGATTCATCGGCGTACTACGCTCCGATCGCTGCCGATATTGTAACCCCGTTACCGACACTTTTTCCGCGGTAATTATCTGCTCAATGTGG